TTACGTCATTTGTGTCAGTGCTGTGCAAATCATTAAAAAGTTGAAAGCTGTGTTTGCTCTGATGCCTTCAACGATCCTGTTCCTCATACATCTTGTTGCTCGGAGACTGTAATACAAACATGATGTGTGCACACAAACAGTTTTTCATTACTTTAAGGAACTTGGAATATCTTACTAAGAGAAGGTAATTCACAATTAGCTCGTGCAACCAACGCATCTCAATCAATTAAATCCAATTAGAGAGACATTACATAATTAAAGGTCTACAGTAGATAATTGATATTGATTGAAGTAAGTGAGCAGACACTATAGACTCAGTGGTAATAGCTGTGACCACAAAACCCAATTAATACTTAAACATGTTTGTTGTGCAAGGTCACGTCAAGATGTTTATCCGGACGCTTCATCATTTTGAGCGTTGTTTGATGTTTAAATTTGCTGTTCCTCGCTGTTGGAGAAAGAACAAGTTGTTTCCGAACCTCAAACCCAAACAACTGAAACTCATCAAGCACACTAATGTTAATTTCTTTTCATTGTTGTTGTTGACGAGGTGTTTCAGACGGACATACCTAGAGCTGCCAGCATACGAGGAGTATATTTAAAAACAAATGAGAGTGCGGTGTGACCAGAAATGCCAGACATTGACTGACATTATACTGGACTGCAATGAGTCCGTCAGCAGCACTAAAATACTACCTCTTATAAATTAGCCTTTTCCTCTTCAAATTGATAAATAATCCATCACTTAATTAGTTGGTCCATTTCTCTTTTTAGCTGCTGTTAGAACTAATTAAACAGCAGCCTTATGTTCAAAGCTGAGATTTCTTGCCCGAATTACTTTACAACATAAGTTATTTTGGCAAACATGTCTGATGTATTTATTGTTCCTAATCACCCAACTTGCACTGAATTTAGAAAGTGACCTCATGTAATTGCACTAGGCTATTATAAAACCCTCTAACTGGCTTCTTAATTATCTTAATGACTTTGAGGGGGGAGAGCCTCCAGCCAGCCTCCTAAGGGAGAGACGACACCAGAGACTGAGCGGTCCTCAGCTGAGGGTGGACAGATGCAGGGCCCAGAGATTGTGAGAGATTGAGTGGTTTGATGGGAGGATCGGCTTTCACCTCCTGTCTGGGAGTTCCCCTCGTTCCCTCTGGAAGGACCTGAGGGGCGCTTAAAATCAGTTTTTGACCGTAGAGCAGAGAGATGTGTCTTTGTAAGCTGTCATCCTGCCTCAACAACAAGTTAGCTGGAAAATGAAATATAGATTTTTTTTTTTTTTTTTTTTTTTTTTTAACGACAGTTCCATCCAGTAGAAACATCTGCAGAAACAACAGCTCAGTTAGGATCTCTGGTGAGAAATCGTACTTCAAAATGACTCAAGTTTCGGAAACAGGGAAAATCTTTGCTCCAGGATTAATACAAGGCAGCAAATTAATCATCACAGGAAGCGTTTAAACTCAGAGAAGATGGTTTTTACCTTTGCTGTAGTCTCCTGCAGCTTGAGTTCATCAAGAACAGACTGTTGTTCAGCACATGAAGGGGATTTGGGTGAAAAAAAACTGTCATAACTGTTCAGCCTTCATCCCTCAAGCTGCTCACATTCCAGTCCGCACAATGATCCCATTAGATCTGGATTCAGAGGCTTTTGTATAGCATAAATTACCACACCACTTGAACAGCATGCACAAACACAATCTTCACGTTTGCCTTTAACACCATACTTTGCCCTCTTGTACATGTGGCTGTGTGCACATTTACATTGTTGTCCTCTGCGGTTCCACGTGGAGGTCTCCCCGATGGTCTCGAGTCCATTGCATCATCGCAGCTGAGCAGCCCCAAAATGATTTCATCTACTGTCCAGGGAAAATGCTTTACAGGCAGCTGTGTAACTGTCATGTCATACCACGCACACACAAAGACACGCACGCACGTTGGTCTTTCTATAGTTGTGAGAACACTCATTGACATTCTGCAGTTCCTAGCCCCTTACCCTAACCATAACCATCACAACTGAATGCCTAACCCCTACATCTTGACTCTCAAGCAGCCCTTTGAAGTTGTGAGGACTGGCCAAAATGTCTTCACAGCGATGGTTTCAACTAAAAATTGTCCACACAACCATAGAAAGACATCCACACACACAAACTCACACACACATACACATACACATACACACACACATACAATTACTCAGATGACCAGTTGAAGAGTGGGAATCAAACCCAGATGTGAAAAAAACCAAATGAAAGATGCAGCTCCACCCTCGTCTCTCCTGAGAACTGGTTGCGATTGAATGTTTTTACATTTTACAGAGGGAACATTAGACTTTAAAAACCTCAGTATTAACAGTAAAAGACACGTTAGGATCATGGGGACAAGAGCTAAATGCTAACTTCGGCAAGCTTTTATGCTAGCGATGGCAATGTCAACGTGGTGATCTTTAGTATGTTTACCATGTTCGCCATCTTAGTTGGAGGCGTCAGCATGCTCCCACTTGCTAATGCATAATCTGATTGGAATTAGCTTTGCGGGTATTTTGTCATAAACCAAAGTATTTGGAAAAAAAAATTATTACCATATGATGGTGCTGGATGAAAAGTCGTAGGATCACATTAGTTATTACAATTCAAAAGTATTGAGGGGGCATGAATGTCTGTACCACAGTTAATGGCAATCCAATAGGTGTTGAGACATTTTACTAAAATAACAAGAATAGCATAGCATAACCTGCTGGTAAAAAGGAAAAGTCAGGGATCATCCTCTGGGGCTCATGAATGTCTGTACAAAATCCATCCAGTAGTTATGTTAGACATTTCAGTCTGGACCAAAGTGATTGACCAATTGGACAGACTGACAGACAGAGAAAAGTTACCCCTAAAATCCAGACATTATAACATGAATTTAACTCCTGATGGGTGGTGTTCATTTTGTTTGGGTGTATGACGCAGACTTTATGCATAGATGTCCTCATAGAAATATCTGAGGCTTGCAGGAAATTTGGCATGTCAGAATTTGTTACCCTATGACTCATTAAGAAATTCCCCACTCTCCAAAACAAATGAGCTTTTCACTGCATCATGGGAGTAAGGTCAGTGATCTGGAGTCAGCAGGGGAGCCTGAGACCTCATGATGAGGAGGAACAAGACATGACATTGTTACCAGAACATAACTGCCAGATCAAACAACCTCACTGGTCCATGGGCCACCCCAGGTGTCTTGAAACCCAAATAAAAAAGGCAGTGGAGTGTGTTGCAAATCCACTGTGGGAGTTAGAGTGGTACCCTCTGGGCATTGTGGCAAACAGGTCAATCATATCCAGTGGATATGCACCGTCTAGCATGCTCTTGTTCAGTCATGCTGTTTAATGAAAAAGAGCAGCGAAAAAGAAAATGAAGAAATATATTCAGAAGATTTGGTATATTGAAGAAAAAAAGTAAATCCTTTAAAATGAATACATGATAACATGTGGGCCGTATCACAGTAGTTTACGGAAAATGTTCATGTTTCTTTGGCAGCTGTGTTTGCGCAGAGCGCTGAGGTCTGGTGCAGATGACATGCAGGCGATGAGAGAGGGTGGTTTCCATGGAGCAGCGCTGCATGTGAGCGATGCAGACCCTCCTCAATCCTCCTGAGACACGGCTGTGTGGAATATCTTAAAAAGATGATTACGCTCGTATGTCAGCAAAAGACCCTGCGCAAAAACGTTGCGACTGGATTCTCAATTTAACGCAGTCACGTGTGTGTGTGTGTGTGTGTATGTGCATGTGTATATGTCTTACACTGACTTGAAGATATATTTCCAAAGTGTGGTTTTGGGTGTGTTACTTGCTTACACTGGCACATCTTGTCGCTCGCTCAGTCTGCTGGAGAGTGAAGTCACCCATTTGGCCCGTGCACTTTTTTGTATCTTTAGCCAAGTTTTCTCTCTGTTTTTTTAAAGCAGTGGACAAGAAACTTCCCAATCATTTTCATTATTTCATCACTTTTCATTAACATCATTATATACATAACCCTACATGGAATCATAGTTGATATTATATGACAAAAATACAGTTATCCGTTTATAGCAGGACAACACACTGCTGATGTTGTAGCGTATGATTTATCCAGCTGTAAATCTGGAATTGATATCGTAAGGAAGCTCAGACAGGATCAAGAGATAATCTGGATGCTCCAGTGGTTGCAGTGACAGTGACAATAATTCATGCTATGGTCTGTAATTACATATCTAAATGTATATCCATTCACACATTAATAACCCTTCCACTAACATCACAAATCATGCATCATGTTGAGTGTATTGAACAGGGAACACTGGAGGTGAGGGAGGGGGAGGGGAAGAACAAAGGAATCAGAGGAGATGGTGGGAAAACATGGTGTGTTAGAGGAGAATGGTGCCTGGTTTTAAAAAGCCACAGATGATCGTCTCTCATCGCCCTCTTGCATTTCACATATTCTGCTGAGACACAGCAGAGCATCTCTAAAAGAAGGTAAAATGAGGGAAGGAGGAGGGAGGATGGGAGGGAAGTCGGAGGCGAGGGAGAGGCAGCAGAAAGCAGGGGGAGGAGGGAGCGTTGTTGCGTCTGCCGCCGCTGTCATTCTGCTGCTGCGCGGTTCAGCGGCAGGAGGGTGTGCGGAAGGGAGGAGAGTGGAAAAAACGGAGGAAAGGAGGACGGGAGGGAAGGAGAGAAAGGGAGCGCCTGGGCAGCACTGCAACAGCTGCAGCTGCAGCAGCCTGTTAGGACGAAAGAGGGAAGAAAGAGAAGGCTGCAGGATTGCCTTAAAGGAAGCATTTTATATGGGCTATTTTTTTTTTTTGCTCACAGGGAGAAGGGTTTGAGTAAGGAAGCCTGATTTCTCCCTGCTGATGTTTTTCTATATGGTCTCATGCAGGGGGCATGCTTGGAAATAGTGTGAGAGGCAGAGGAGATTTGAAAATGGAAAGGACGGATAGCACAAAGGCATACGGCCAAGCAGATGGCAAAGGAGTTGGTATGGCAGCTAAGAGGGCAAAGTCTGGAGTGCCCCAGAGCACGCAGCGGGGTGAACTGAAGGTTTACCGGGCGGGTAGCTCGGAGGGCAGGCTACCAGTGCCCTCCAATCTCCGCAAGCAGAGGTCTATGACAAACCTGGCTGTACTCACTGATGCTGAGAAGAAGTTGCATCTTTATGAGCCAAAGTGGTGTGATGACATGGCCAAGCCCGGGGCAGGGCAGACCAAGATGGGCAAGCCAAAGACGGCAGGAGGCGGCACCGGTGCCGGAGGAGGTGCCCCTCTCTCTCGAAACCTGTCCAAATCTGAGCATTCGCTGTTCCAGGGCAAACCCAAGCCCTTCAGCCCTCTGGCTGCTCCTTCTGCCCTGAGCAAGCAGAGCCGTATACCCCGTGGTCCTTACGCTGAGGTGAAGCCCCTGAGCAAAGCACCTGAGGATGGAAAGTCCGATGACGAGATCCTCTCCAGCAAAGCAAAGGCCAACGCTAAGAAACAGGGAGCTGGGGCTGGAGGGGAGTCCGGTTCCAAGGGCCAGGTGGAGGAAGGGGGAGACAAGCCCTTCCTGAAGGTGGATCCGGAGCTGGTGGTGACAGTGCTGGGCGACCTGGAGCAGCTACTCTTCAGTCAGATGTTAGGTGAGTACAGCACAGCAGTCTTGATACCTCTACCACCCCAGGGCCCTCTACAGTACGTTTGGCCACCATGTGCTACAAACCAAATGCCCCGCTTGTACGATTTCTCAGTGCCTCTCAAAGTCAGCATCACGCCCCCTTTGATACAGCCACTACACGGCACCTGCTCGCTGCTGCAGACCCACATTTCCCTGGAATGGATTTTATGCAGCTCGCTGACTGAGGGAGGGAAAAAAAAAAAAAAAAAACAGGAAGACGTCCTCATGGTGCTTGCAAAGCATGCTTTTCCTCTCATTATTTCATTGAATGCTATCCCAGCTTGGCGTTTCCACAGAAAGCTCAATAGTTAGTTGAATACCAAAGCTATAACGATGCTCTATTGTTCTTATTCCTCCAGCATGTCACTCAGGTGTCTGAGGCTTGGTGGCATTGATTATGTTAAACGTGCTCGCTTCCTATCATAACATAACCATCTAATTGCATGAAAAAGGCCTGAGGGGATGGAGATTATTACCAGCAGACTGATCTCCTTTCTAAAGCTCTCGTTTGCTGCAACATGTGCCGATGCACTCGAGGGGTCCGTCCGCTGCCTCCGTGCATGCTTCTAAAAACAAGAGATGGGGAAGACGGCATGCCATATTGAATTCATTTCAGGCAGACACACATTTAGCCACCTCCCAGCTCCATTCATCTGTAGAGCTCTGACAGATGGTTTACACCCTGTGTACTACAACGGTGCAAATGGCAGAGAAAATGGCTTTCCCTCTGGAGGTGGTAGGTCAGGTTTATCAGTAGGAAGGACTTCTATGAATAAACAGGGTGTTGATCAATAATGATATGATCCTGATGACTGCATCCTTTTTTGTATGTTTTGTTATTTTCTTTGTGCCTCTGTGTTAATTACAGGTGCAGCGTGTATCTAATTATGATCTGTGTTTTGTCTTTGGCAACTTTTAAATTCAGTGCTACCCACAGGATGCATTAAGCCTCAAGCCCAGCTTTCTTCTCAGATTTACCTGCAAAGTGCAACCTGCTGTTATTTTATATGTTCAATCTTAGTTTAAAAAAGAAAGGAAAAAAAAAAAGAATCTTTCAGGCTATTTAGATAACAACTGGGTTGGAGACTTATTCTTTGTAATACTAAAAACGAAGGGGTTAAATTGCAGACATCTTGCCCCTGGTCTCTGATGACACCCTCACAGAAGGTTTATAAATTAAAAAAACTGCAATATTAGAGTGCAAAATAAAAGCTAATTTACTGACACTTTGCGTTCATTCGCATTCCTAATATCCCGCTACTAGTTAACAAACATGGTGCAAGCATGTCATATACCAACAAGCATTTCATGTACAAATTCAATAATTCATTATTCCATTATTCATCAGGAGAGCATGTTCCCTGTTGCATCTTAACGAACACGTCTGTGGTGATTTGATCTGTTATCCATGCCTCATTAGCCTGTATGGATGTCTATCACTCATGTTCGTCACACTTAAAGCCTAGTATGAACTGTAAGCAATGCAGCATGCTGTGGATAGCAGCATGGCATCACAGGGTATATTTTGTGTGACTGAGTGTGGAACCACAACCAAACATTTCTAAGAACCCTGCAGATTTCTGCACCACACCCACCTTTGCTTTATCAACCTAATTGCATAAAATTTGCAGCAGAATGCCTCGGGCTGATACATCCTTTCTGCTCAATACATCGCATTGTCCTCCATGATGTTTCCAAATCAATTCAAAGTCATTATTTCTCAAAAAGGGGGTTTATCATCTTAATGAATAATGTATCATCATTTAAGATGATAATCCCATGTGGGCCTGTGACGCAAGTCAAGTGCTTTGTGCCCATGAAAGGAAGAACAGCCACCAAAAATGGAAAGATGGGAAACAATCGCAGCACTGATTATTGATATTCATATAGATGGAGGAAAATATCTTTAATTATTGTAATATTGATGTTATGTATTCAGGACAGCAGTATCTGAATACTCCTTTCTGCATGTTAGACTGGACCTTTTACCCCATGTCCTTACTGTACATGTACAGTACAGAGGACATGATTGTTACTTTAAATAGCTCTTTTCATTCATAGTCTGCAGTATATTTAAGGCCTGATTAATGCTTAATGCTGTGCTCTACTTCTGCAGTATATCTCATTATGAGCTCACTGAAAGGATGCTTTTATTTCTGAACATAGGTCTCTTTGTTTACCATTATGACATCAAGAATGGTCAACTTTGTTAAAAGACTCATTTATTAAACTCTCCATGTAAGTTTGTGCACCATGGCTTTCATACAACACGAGACTGTTGGATATACTGCAATAGCACTAAATGAAAGGAGACATAAATCTCAAATCACTTGCCTTTTTTTTTTTTTTTTAAATGATGAATTTACTATGACGAATATATCCCAGGTCATTAGGACGATAGATTCATATCCACAGAGAAAGCAGAAGATCAGAGTAGTACAGACAGCAGTAGCTACTCATGGAAGAGCTCTTCTCTAAACAACAACGAAATGAGAAAACCTCATTTCATCCTAATTGTGTATGATCTGTCATGCAAGATGTCCACAAGCGTAGCAATGGTCTACAGCTATGTAGACTCACACTGGAGAAGGTACAGGGTACCTTTTCAAGCCCAAAATATCAGTCAAGTCATTTTTGATGATGTATTATTTAAATATCAGAGATAAAATGGCAGACAGCCTGTGTTTTGAATTGTTAATTTCTCTCTGTCTGCCTCTTACACAATTTAGAAGTTGTGGGGATGATTGAATGGGAGTGTGTATTTTTGAAAACAACTGGGGGTGGTATCTGAAGCAAATCTACAGCAAAGCTGCTACATAACCCTGCTGTGATTCTTGGGCCAGAGAGCTGTTGGTTTTCTCTTCATTAAGAGCTAAAACTTTCAAATTTATTTAAAGGCTGATCATGTTAAATAATGAGTGATGGCTATTCACGGTGAGGGTTGTATGAGAAGTGCTGAATGTGCCCTTTTTTTTTATTCAAGCCAACAAGTTATTTTCCCATCGGCATTCACTCACAGTGACCACTCACCTGGCATTGTGAGAAACTCTGAAAAGCTCTTGGTCCATTTGAACTACAAGAAAAGCACCCTCTTCTTGTTTGGTGCCAAAGTAACAAGTTTTTTTTTTTCAGAAAAGTGACTCAGTGAAACGAACTTCAAAATGAACTGCTTATAAGGACTATTGGTTTTCCCATGATCATCATGTTTGTTTATAGGAAATTAGGCTAATGTCTCGATTTAACTGGTGCAGCATCAAGGACCTTTAATGTGGATTTAGTAGTGTTTCTAGGGTTAATTACTGAGGGCCTCTAACAATGTTTTAGAATCCCTTTTGCCACACTGTAATCTGCCTCTGCTCCATTTCAATATAGAGCACTTCCTGTGGTGTTGCATCATTCATAAGACTTTAGTGATTCAGATCTGCTTCAGTATTCTGTCCGAGTTTTCCCTCTCTGTACTGTAGGCATCACTGCAATGCAGGGTGCCAGAGGACCATCATTCACTGCATGGGAACACAGTGAATTTTGAATACAGTATATACTCAGAACAGATGTGATTCACGTGTGGGCTCTGTGTCCAGGATTCCTGATTGAGGATATTCCCAGAAATGAGCATTAAATTAGCAGCATCACAGGATGCTGCAAGAATGTGATGATGTGATGAAAGATTTATTCTTAGACCCACTCTTCTTTACTCTTCGCCAAATATCCAGTCTTGGAATACAAATGATGGTCGTGGGGACTATAGCATTATTAAACTTTTTTATGGTGATGTTAAGGTTAGCGAAAGAGTTTTGGTTTACTCTTTTTAAAAAAAAAAAGAAAAAGAAGTCCATGGTGACTTGAAACATGAGACAGAATGAGTGTACTTTATTAACATTTAACTGAAACCACAATCTTTTACTTTTCTGTGAACATGACTCATGCAGCGATTGTGTTCACCACCATAACAGAACTGGAAAAGAAATGTGGACTGTATAAACGTCATTTCTAGGAGACGGGGGGAGGTCACCAGTCTATAAACCAACTGTACAGACTCAGAATTCAAGAAAAGGAAGGATATTGATAATCTAACATTAGAACCAGATTCACGTCACATGTTGCATATTTATTGTTGTGTCCAAAACCATCATGTACTATCTATGTTCTGCTAATAATCCCACAATGCAATACTTAACATTTTATAGATGCAAACAGTCACGTGACATTTGTCAGTTATGATGCAAAATGATAGTGTGATCTTTAATCTTCCTGCTGGTATGGTTTTAAATGTGTAAATTGTGTATGTATGTTGTGTGTGAAAATTCACACCTTATAGACACCTGGCTGAATCAGTTCAACATCCAGTTATGATAACGCCACATTGTTTGACGTATGGTCCCCTGATGTCCTCGCCTCTTCTCCAGACTTTCCAGTCATTTCTCTCCCCACGGGATTTTGTCTAAACACGCCACAGTGGAAAACATCATCGCCTCTCCTTGTGTTTTTGAAACATTGAGGCTTCTGTCACTTGCTACAGCTAACACAACAACACTCTTAATTGTTCTGCGCTATTGATTTGACATGGTCATGACCCACTGTCTCGACACTTTACATTGCACGCAGCTTGATCTAAATAAGCTGATCTGAGGTGAAGTGCTTTTGGCTGCAGTTCAGCATATTGTTGGCTTCACGACTTCCGCTGAATGACTCTGAGAAAACACTCTACAGATCAGAAAACAGAAACTCTGGATAGAAAAAAAAACTCAGTGCCTTGAAAGAGATCCTGGTGTGGCACAAATGTCAGAATACATCCCCCTGGTGGGCGCTCTAAGTAACAGGCAACCTATCACATTTTCAGGATGTACCATGTCACTCCAGAGGGGGTACAGCTGGCGTTACCATGGTGAAGCAGCTCATGGAGTGAAATTTGTCTGCCTAATGATGTGAACATGCTTTGGCTGCGTGTTTACTAGGAAGACACCTGTCACATAAGTCCAGGAACAAATAATACGATTAAGGACATGCGTTAGTGTGTGTGACCTCTCTTAAAACACACTCACACACAGGCGCAACAGTGAAACAGCAGCTTGTATCTGAGTTTTACTTTGACTCTGTGAATGTTTTATAAACTTTTTTCTGCATGACTGACCCACAGACCCCGAGTCTCAGAGGAAACGGACTGTGCAGAATGTCCTTGACCTCCGCCAGAATTTGGAGGACACCATGTCAAGTCTGCGGGGCTCCCAGCTCAGCCATAGGTAAGTGTCCTCTATTAGCATTTTAGAATTTTGTATTGTTTCATAATGATGTCTCCTTTTCCACTGGCTAATGTCTTATATGAACAGAAGACAGCGCATTGTAAAATCATAGGATAAAATCATAAGACAAATTCTGTCCATGGTTTAATCTGAAAGGAAACACACTGTTATGTGAACTAGCTTGCTGGATCGATACATAACACAATCATGTATAAACAGTTGTGCTGTGGCCACTTGGAGAGTTGCCACCTGGTGAACATCTGGCTTCCATCCTTCTTAAATAGCCCGTCTCTTTTTCTTGGTCATGACTTCATTCTAGGCATCTCTCTGTTTGGCTCTCACAGGCAAAAGGCCCAGGCAATAATTTGTTGCAACAACCACAACATAACAAGACACTGGGGGAGAACAGCTCTTTATTTCATTTGGACATTATAGTTGGAATGTAATATCCTGTGTAACAAAAACCCAAAGATAAGGAACAACGACCTGCTTATATCTCTTCTATATTCTCTTATAAACTTCTATTAATGAGTATTTCTATATTAAAACCAAATCAATTATCTCTGTAATTTGAAATAGGCACTCATTGTGATGTTGCATAGGAGCCATATCTGAATCTCTGAAGCTTTTCAACCTCATTTAGCTCACATTTGCAGAATGGTTGTGCATAAGCTCCTCTCATCTGCCCGTAAGGGCAAACAAACATCAGCAAGCAATTTTTCCTAAACTGTAGCTGAAACACCAATAAAATACTTAACTATCAGATGCCCAGAAACACAGCCTCAAATAAATGCTAATATTGTTGTATAATTATGCAGTTGTTTGCTAAAATGTGAATAATAAAACCTTTATAAGCTAGTGATATGGTGGTGGTTATGTGTCTGCCAGCTTGTTTTGTTGTTTTTCTGCCACCTAGTGGCCAGAAATGAATTAAAGCAGCTTTAAATTCTTCTGTTTTACTATGTCTACTAGAGACAATTTTACCATCACATATATTTTGGCATCAGTGTATGTCAAAAATAGTTAGCAAAACATTACAATACAGACATGCCTAAGATATGTTTAAGTTCATTTAGAGAGAGTGTCACCAGAGAGCACTGTCAGTTTAGTTTTTAACTGCTATGTCCTGCTATCCTGCATTATTGGTCACTATAACCAAATGTAAGGGATTCTCACCAAAACTATTTAAATCTTGTCTTGATAATAATAATAATAATAATAATAATAATAATATTCCTTTTTAACTCTCAAATATCGATATGGGTACCAGCCTCAAAAATCCAGCATCTACAAAACAAGTTGTTATATGGACTTCAAGTCACATCATTTTAAGTGATACATGATAGGAGCTGTGAGTAAGTTTTGCTATGGCTACATAGCCACCGTTAGCATTAACAGCTGTTTACTTACTAGTCTTGTTAAGAGCTTCAGTCATTGTTGCATTTACAAGACAAGAGGTTATAATACGCCTACGAGCAGCGCTATTTCTTCAGGGCAGCCTGGACACTGTATCAGAACGTGACAAGATAGTCCGAACCGGGTCGGGACTTGCTGGTTAGTAAAACAAGGCATTGCTTTCCACCACTGGAGAGCTCTTAGTGAGGAAAGGAATGAAGTTTGATGCTGAACTTGTGAAGTTTCTTCTAGACTAGTAAATAAACAGCTGTAAATGCTAACACTGGCTATGTAGCGATAGCAAAATGAACAAATAGCTCCTTTAAATAACTTATATATTGAGGAATAACCAAAAAACAAAAGCGCTTTCAAATTAATTTATAATATCAGTAACAATATGCTTTTCATCCATCAGTCAGCTATCCATTATCTTAACTGTGAAATCTTGTGATTATACATACTTGACATTGACTAGCAATATTAATGAATGGTTGAGAAGAATTCTCACAGTAGTTATCTTGATAGACATTATTTGATCTCTGTTGTCAATGATTCAAATGTCTGTTAAACAACATACAATATCAGTCATTGTCAAAAGTAAAAATTCTCATTTTCAGTACTGGCATATGGCACCACTTAGCCTCCATATTGATAAATTATCCATCAACAATGGATAAAAATATCCCCATGGTCGTAGCCATTGCAATATTTATTTGGGTGAGCTGGTTCATCTAGTTATGTAATCAGCAGACACAGACGCTCGCAGCCATTTGGAGGACATTTCTAACACTGACCCACTTACAGCGGGTGAATAGGAATAGGAGTGAATAGGAAAACTATGATATACACTATAACGAGTAATGGTAAGAGGTGTATTGCCATTTGCGGCATTTCTTGGGTGTGGTCATGTGAAGCAAAGCTCCTTGGCAGGAGAATGATATTGTCTGCTGGTGAGTGTAAATATATATTACTCCAAGAGATAGATGCCATGTTAAGACAGAGATATCGGGTCATTCTCCTCTTTGCCTTTGGGTTGGGATGCCACATTTCTAGCTTTAGTCCCTGAAGACAATACAGTGCCACAGTGTATATGGCTCAGTAGTAACTCAATGCCACTGTAGGTTTCTTTTAAGGACTTCTGACAGAGAAAGAAAGATGTTTTGCTTCCTTCTTTGGTCTCATCCTTTGCAATATTGTTGATATAATGATTTTGTGAGTAATTCTAGACTGTAAATGGCTCAAATATATAAAGGTAACACACACTGACCCTTTCCCCATGTGTCTCTCCAGCTGTCTGGAAAGCAGTAATGTGGGCTATGACAGTGATGAGACCAACGCTCGCAGCATTTCTAGCCTCTCCAACCGCTCTTCACCTCTGTCCTGGCGCCACGGCCAGTCCAGCCCCCGTCTTCAGGCAGGTGACGCCCCATCTGCAACAGGCGGAGGATACCAGGGGAGTAAGACTGGCTCCCAGTATACCGCCCATACGATGCCAGCTCGCTGCTCCAGCCGCATCAGCAGCACGTCTCGCATTGAGCTCATCGAAGGGTTGGATGTGGATGACACCGATCTCAAGTCTGGTTACCTGAGTGACAGTGACCTTCTAGGAAAGAGCCTGCCGGATGACGATGACGACAACCTGGCTAACGGGTAAGAGTATCTGAAGACGTGCATTGCTTTGAACCTCTTGTTACCATGACAACATGAACCAATTAGTGACTGCAGCGACTGGATGCTGGTTTGTCCTTTGGGCCTCTACCTTATGACTTTGAAAAGGTCAGCTAGGAGATGTTGTCGAATTGCATTTGACTCCCAGGAATCAGGAAGCTGGTAGGCCTTCAGCTGTAATTGCTAGACATTGTTCCACGCCACATTTCACTATCTAATTGGGTTGCATAGACCATATACATTTTATCTTTCAACTGCAGTGCCAAAAACTTCTATGAGGGAAACTTTAAATGCCGACACGGTGGGTTTTTGCTGTGTGTTGATATCTGATGTTTTGCACTTGGCAGACCTATCAAAGAGCTTTCATCAGCAGCCTGTGCAGACACACTGTCTTTCTTTCTCAAAGTGCTCATGACATTGTCAGAGGCTGTTTTTGCTGACTCTGAGAGAGCGCTTTCTCAAGTTTTTTTACTGAGGACAAAACTCATCAGATATCGCTTTGGTTACACAATAAATGCTCTGGAATAAATTGCGCATGGTCTAAATGTTGTGAAGACTCAACAGGTACAGAGGCAACAAATAGTTTAAATCACACAATGTGACAATGCTTTCCTTGTTAACAGGAATGCCACATCTTACAATTACTCTACCTTTCTGTTTTTTTCTTCCTACTCTTTGCCTTCACCCTTGCTGTCCTCCTCTTACATCCTTTGTGTGTCTTTATCTAATTTCTTCTCTCAAGTTGACAACTGACAGTTAGAGTCAGAGAGAGACGGAGAGAGAGGGAGAAAGAATCCAGGACAGTTCTCTTGTGTGGTTGAGCAGCTTTATCGCTGTTGCACATGCAGTGGGATTTAAGCTCAATCTCTGGAGCGCTCGCTAGGCCCTGCATGCCAGGTCACGTTCTTACTACAGAGTGCAATGAGGAGAAGAAAGACATGACACATTTTAGATGAGTAGAAATTAGAGCAAAGAAGGAAAAGTGTAAAATTAACTGGGTCCGTTTAAATGAAGGGCTGTAAAATTTGGAGCTGAGGTGAATCAGGATGGCATGATACGACTGATAGTGAGAATGATAAAAACAAAACAAACAAAAAAACCAAGACGAGACATTCTATTAAATAAAAATGGATGACTAGCTCCATGTGAAAAGGTTTAGCATTTTGGGAGGAGAGAGGTGAAAAAGATCAGACAGCAGAATCCTGATAAGGTCAGGATTAAAAGGAGATTATGTCATATGGGTCCATTCCTCAGTAACATCCATGCACTCAAAATCCACTTAAATCTGACGTGTATTTTGCCCTGTCCTTTGCTGAACCGGCTCTGCTGTGGTGATTCAAATTTATGCGAGAGGTGAACTTGGGGGACTCGCCCCTGCTTATAACACCACGGGCACCAAAAATGCTAACTGTTTTTACATAACTGCTGTTTAGAAATGCCTCATCATGCTCAGTGTTTGGGCCCCCAATGTCAGCAGTCCCCAGAGATGCTTTCAAGGTGACTGTGAAAACAGCCTGATGAGTCCAACTGATCCCAACAGTAGATTATTACCATTTACACCAAGAGGATTATGGGCTTGTTTGCATACATGCTATGGAAATGTCTCTTTCTGTGGGTTATCTCGAGAGTCATAATAGGCTGGATGCCAAAATGCACCAAGATATGTATTCGCTTTGACCTTGAATAGGTTGCGTGCTTGTACTTGGAGGATATAACTGATTTCTTTGCTTTGCTGGTCTGTAGTTGCATTAGTCTCAGTGGAAACTATCCCTGATTCTCCTGCAGGAATACTGTATATCAAGAGTTAATCCTGCCCCCCTCATAAAGATACCAGCAGCCTTTGGTGTAGTTGACTAGCTAATCTAATTTTTGAAGCAGGCTCCACAGCACATGCTCTGATTTTCTTCTTATAGTATCCTCTTGCAAATTCTGTGATACATTTGTATTTGTACTGTACACCCCCTGTCACACACTCACAGTTCACCTCATTGAGAACCATGAGCTACCAGCTCTTGAAAATAGATCAGGCTCCTCCTGCGTAACCATGGAAACCATCTTGAAATAGACTGTAAGGAGAGGTGCAATTTGTGCTCGCTTTTACTAAAGCCAGTTTAACATTGCCGTACATTTGACTGATTTTGAATTAGCCTTAATATAATTTACTTTATCTGAATTGTAGAGTTTAAATTATAATGCTTGGATAATGTATAACCAATGTACATAATGCTTCAAACAATCCGGAAAGAGACATGTGAAATAATAAGACAAAAGACATGTTGTTGCTCAACCCTTTTTATATGAGACTGTATAATAAGGGAGCAAAATGGAACTGCAGCACATCACTGGATATCTAATGGATATTGATTAACCCACACCAGACAGCACTGGCTAGCTAAGGCTAAATGTATACACGCTGACAGTAATCACTGCTTCTGGGTGTCCGCCTCATCAATAATCTGGTACCAAATACATGCCAATCTCCTCATGGACTCCCATCTTTCAACCAGAGAGGAATAGTGACATCGCAAACAGTGACACACAGCTTCATGTTAATCTGCTTTGTCCCAGTTAAAGAAAAAATTATTCTGATGCTGTTTTATTAATCATTAATATATCCTTCCTGTTTGTTCCGAGGAAATAGGGAGTATTCATCTGTTGGCAGTTGCTATCATTGCAAATATTACTGTATGTCATCTCACAATAAACCATAAAGACCGACAATACCTGCTTAAACCTGCATTATCTGTTTTTGACCACCAGAGGATAGAAGAACTCAGAAAAAAAAAAAGCTGACATACACACAGCCCTGACATACTGAATAATGCCTTCTAAAGTTGTTGTTGCCTTCGCCATGGACGTTATGTTTTCACCCGTGTCTGTTTATTTGTCAGCAGGATTACGCAAAAAGTACCAATTTGCACCGAACATGGTGAAGGGACGAGCCGTTGACCAGGGAAGAACCCATAGAATTTTGGGGCAGATCCGGATCGTTTACTATGAATTTGAATTTTTCTCTCCTAAGTCTGGTGTATGTTGTTTGACTTTAGCCTGGTGGAGGTCTGCGCTCTCTGAGTGCCCTTCTATTTGACATTGGGTCACAGAGGCAGTGATTTAACTTTGTGGTAATGAGTGAGAGTGAGACTGTACTTTGTGATGTTGTTGTACTGGATCGCATTATTAGATCTCGTAACGGCTGATGTTTTTACAGTGGCTGCTATTTTTATGGTCAATCAGTGCATTGTCCAACTTGCAGTTGCTGATGTGGAAATATAGAGGAACTATTTACTTTTAGTCACAACTGAAATTGCCATACTTACGTCCAGTGTAATATTACAATTATTCATAATTTCCCATCTCCCTCAGTAGACTCTGTGTCTGCTTGAAATATTAGTTGCATTTAATAAAACAAGCTCATGCTCATTTCACTGAATATTTTTGAGACCACCGTACAGTGAGTGAGTGTTTCATGTCTCAGAGGAATGTTGAGACGGCTTCTTATTTAACCTTGACCACTTCTCACCACGTCCAAAGTCATAACTGTTTCCTGTGGTTACATTCTTCACACCATACTGGCAAAGTTTAACTATCACTCATATGATATCACCCCACTGCGAGCCATATTTAAAACACTGGTTTATGAGTAGAGCAGTAATCACATTATATTATTGGTGGTATGGCTGTGTTTTCCATGTCTGGCATATATATTATGACTCCTAATCAGCATTCAGTGTCATTTCAGCGGTGTTCAGTCAATTATGGCTGATGTTTTACAGGCACTCAAATATAGTATATGTAAGCAGTTTGGTTTAGGTTCACTTTTCATGTCTAATGCAGATGTTCACCGGGAGAATGACTTGTTTTTTCCATAATGTCATTTAGTTGATGGGACGAACCCAAGCCTAATGTTTGTAACAGAACACAAGAATTTCACAGGAAGCCTGAACATGATTATTGACAGATTTATGTATTGTCTTGGCAGATTAACAGTTTTGAAAACCTTAAATTGGAAGGTCTCAATGAAAAAAGGCAAATGTCTTTCAGCATTTGGTTTGTATCCAAACTCTTTGGCTGACTGAGGAGGGAAGCAGCGAAAGGCACTTGGCTACAATAATGAGCTATTGATGAGTACAATGCTTCATAGAAAGCTGAAGCCCTGCCTTACTTTCAGGCTAGCTCTTGTTGCACGAAATGTTTTCTTTTTTTCTTTCATGAATCTCTCTTAAAACACGAAACATAGAATACTAAGTTAGTTTTACACCGCACCTGAGCATCAGAATAATTCATCGTGTGTCAGCTTTTAATAAATCCACATTGGCAGTTAGGTTTGACTGATATTGTTTTTGAAGTTCACTTGTAATTTAAAGCACGAGATTTATAGAATTGCTCAGTTTACTTAATTCCCCTTCAGTCCCAGTCATGGTCTGTTGCTCTAGCCCAGCTTAGACCTACTGCTGCTGATACAGTTATACCTCGACTTAAACCTGGATTAAGTGATTGTTTTTTGTTTTTTTTACCCTTTGGGGCAGCACAACAAGCTGTTAGGTTTGGTTTCCACTAACTCTTTCACTAATATCTTGCTCATTTAACAGTTAAAAGCTCCACTATTTTTACCAACTAGTCACTAACTTAGAGCATAGAGTGGCTTCATCAGAGCTTTTTTTCCACTGACAACAGCTGCTTCACATTACACATAATGGTTTGATCCATCTTTAATAAAATAATATTGATTAGAGCAGCTTTAATTTTATGCCAAATGAAGAGGGTCGATATCACTGTCAAGCCTAATAATAATATAACACGTGAGCTGTAGAGAACAGGAATTTTAGACAAGAATGGACAGGGAAGTACATTTACCTAATTTGGCGTGTCATGCAAGATTTAAATATAGACTATACTATAGATATGATATAGAATATATTTTACCAGACACAGATCTGTTTTGGATAAATATCACAGAAGAATTAGATAGTTTTATTGTTCAC